ACTAGAAGCTGAAGAAAGGCAGGATAAAGGCGCAGAAGAGCTGTTTCCAACAGAGATGGAGCAGTGGTGGTATTCTACCGGTTCGGCCTGGTTCTGCCAAGCCGGTACCAGTGATGAGCAGCGGAGATCAAACACGTTCTCTCCCCCGCTGTACTGTTGGGCCCGCCCACCCACCAGAGCTCCCACACTCACCTTTATCCTCTGCTTTTGAAGCGCAGCTGCTTCGCACGGCACAGCAGACTGCCGCGCTGCTGAAGCAACCAGGAGAGTACAGGCTTGCAGGAGGTGAGTTGCAATGCCTCTGCGCCTGCGCAAACACCTCTGCGCCTGCGCAAAGTGTGTGTTTAGCGCACGCACGCAAGCAAAGTGTGTGCACGCACGCAAAGCGCGCCCACCAAGCCACGCCCACTGAACCGGTGGTAAAGCTTTTTTGAATCCCACCACTGAGATGCAGGTCCAGGAGATGTTCCTAAGGAGCAAGAGTTCTGGCTGTCAGGGTTCCACATAATACATCCATAGCAAACAAACCTCCAAGGCAAGGAGATTCCTCAAAGAATAGCTTTATTGGATATATCATATTGGCACAGTTTGGGTGAAAACCGACTCTGAAGATTTCCGCGGTTTTCACCTATTTAAAAGTAAACCCTTTCCCCAGTCAGTCACATGGTCCAATCAAGGTGCTGTCCGGCCGCCTGGTAACATCGCTCCTCCTCTCTCTCTCTCTCTGGCCAGGTCTTAGAATGTCCTTGGTTCTCAAGAGAAAGTATTTTGCTTTGGCTACAAAACCCCAGATATCTCTTAATTCCCCCACTCCCTATCCCTCAGCTCCAGTATGGCAACACGGAAGCCTCAAAATGGCTGAAGTCAGGTCAGCTTCAGGGTTGACAACTGGCTTCCAGAACAAGTAGCCCTTGACTTACAACAGTTTGTTTAGTGATGGTTTGAAGTTACAACAAAGGTTGGAGAGAAATTGAAAAAGTGACTTACGACCGTTTTTTGTACTTACTCAGCATCTCCATGGTCACGTGATCAAAATTCAGATGCTTGGCAATTAACTCAGATTTATGACAGTTGCAGTGTCCCGGGGTCATGTAATCACCTTTGGTGACCTTCTGACAGGCAAAGCCAATGGGGAAGCCGGATTCACTTAACAACCGTGTTACTAACTTAACTGCATTGATTCATTTAACTTTGGCAAGGAAGGTCATAAAATGGGGCAAAACTCATGTACCAAATGTCTCACTTAGCAACAGATCTTGGTTATGATCGTAAATCAAGGACCACCTGTATGTAACGGAGCCTGCCCATTATGGTTGCAAATCATGACAGATAAACTAGGCACCTATGTGTTTGCTCTGCTTAAAATGACCCTCATTACTGCTGTTCCCAGCTGATCCTTAAAAGACCATACTTAAGTGGCCCTAAGTGATCATTAAGCAGAGGATGGGGTGCCTCATAGAATAGAACAACGGAATTGGAAGGGACCTTGGAGGTCTTCTAGTCCAACCCGTGGGCGAATAGGCGGCAAAATAAATTTAATAAATAAGGAATAAAATAAATAAATAACTCCCTGCTCAGGCAGGAATCCCTATACCAACTTTCAAAGTTGGAGCATTTACAACTTCTGGAGGCAAGCTGTTCCACTGCCCCCATAAGTTGGAAATGTTCCAACACTGGAAGTTTTTAAGAAGAGATTGGATAACCATTTGTCTGAAATGGTATAGGGTTTCCTGCCTAAGGGGTAGAGGGGGCCCTGGATGTGGGAGGAAGTCCCAGCCCCCTTCCCTCCACCCACCTCCCATCACCAAGTCACATTTTTCAGTGCCATTGTAACTTTAAACAGTTACAAAACTACCTGTTTGTATGTCGAGGACACACAACAGCACTGGAAGCTTTCAAGAAGAGACTGGACAGCCACCTGTCAGAAATGGTATGAGATCTCCTGCCTGAGCAGGAGGTTGGACTAGATGACCTACAAGGTCCCTTCCAACTCTGTATTCTGTAACATAAGGACTACCTGTAAACCAGTTTGGACTCTGCTTTGTGAAGCGAAGAGTGCTTCACTTTTTACAAGTGTGTTACTTTTCCTCAACTTTCCTTTCTCTGGCCGTGCACTCGGTCTATTTCAAAGGTTGGAGAGGAATTGAAGGCCATCAAAGACTGTCCTTTTCTTTCTGCTAAACCTCCTGATTGCTAAATACAAAAAGTACACCAGCCACCGCAAACCAGCAAACCAAAGAACTTGCAAGTTGGGATTTGACACCTGTCTTTTGAACTCTTGTCAAGACTTTTGCTGTTTTGTGTGTGTGTGTGTGTGTGTTTTCCAGGACCTGCCCAAGGAACATCAACGCAGTATTCCAGCTACCAACAAGGACAGGGCCAACAGTATGGAAGCTATAGAGCTTCACAAACCGGCCCATCTGCGCAGCAACAGAGGTCTTATGGCTATGAACAGGTAAGCTGGGAAGGGATTGAACTGACATGGGAAACATTAAGCTGGGCAAAAAGAGAATTGTAGACCAAAAGAGTGTTGGGAAGCTCCAGGTATGGGAGCTTTACAGAAATAGTTGGGAAATAGAATAGAATAGAACAGAACAGAACAGAACAGAACAGAATAGAATAGAATAGAATAGCAGAGTTGGAAGGGACCTTGGAGGTCTTCTAGCCTAACCCCCTGCCTAGCAGGCAACCCTACACCAGTTCAGACAAATGGTTATCCAACATCTTTTTAAAAACTTCCAGTGTTGGAGCATTTACAACTTCTGGAGAAAAATTGTTCCACTGATTAATTGTTCCAACTGTCAGGAAATTTCCCCTTAGTTCGAGGTTGCTTCTTTCTTTGATTCGTTTCCATCCATTGCTTCTTGTCCTGCCTTCAGGTGCTTTGGAGAATAGATGGACCCTCTCTTCTTCGTGGCAGCCCCTGAGATATTGGAACACTGCTATCATGTCTCCCCTAGCTAGACAATCAAATAAGACAGATTTGCTTGAACTACTTGTTTTCTGGGCAGAGAATCTAGTCTACTGTGTGTTTTAAGATAACGTTATGTTTTCTCTGAAATATTTAGTGAAATTTACTTTCATTTCACTCAAGGGGGTCAACAGCATTGCACCCACAATATTCCAATAAGGTGTCTATGAGCTTGCAAAACTAAACCAGAAGGATTACCTCTTAAAAAAGATGAAAATGGATGAAAATAAGGTTTCTCGAAAGAGAAATCACCAAGAACTAATCAAATTTGAAGGTTTTTTTTTTAAAAAAAGAGAGAGGTCTTTTTGGTACCTGTGGCCTCAAAAGATGGACCTGGTATTTGAGAAACGATCAGTACAGGCAGTCCTCGACTTATGACAATTGAGCCCAAAATTTCTGTTGGTAAACTAGACAGTTGTTAAGTGGGGTTTGCCGCGTTTTATGACAGCTGCTAAGTGAACCGCTGCAGTTGTTAGGTTAGGAATATGGTTGTTAAGTGAATTTGGCTTTCCCCATTGACTTTGCTTGTCAGAAGGTCACAAAAGGGGATCCCATGACCCCGGGACACTGCAGCCGTCATAAACATGAGTCAGCTGCTAAGCCTCTGGATTTTGTGACCGTGGGGATACTGTAATAAGTGTAAAAAAGTGTTTCATTTTTTCCCAGTAACTTCAAACAGCCATTAAACAAGTTGTAAGTCAAAGGCTTACCTCTTATTTGCTGGAATTTTTCTTCTGTTCTCCCTTCAAATATTTTTCTTAATTCTATCAAGATTGGAGAAGGTTGTCTCTTCGCCCTGCTTGATTGCTTTTGAGAAGATCTGACAGATAATTTGGAAAGCTTTTCTTCGCCGTCCTTAAATTCTATAATGGAAAAGGAAGGCGTACTTTACACTGTGTGTAGAAATGGATTATTTACAATTCATTTTCTCTCTCTTGTTCACTTTCCCGTTGTTTAACAGGGCCAGTATGGAAACTATCAGCAATAAAAATGACAAGCGCCTGTGTCAAATTTGTTTCAATATTTATGTCCATTTTTTTGGAACTTGGATGTATGGGCAAGTCTTTTTTTTTTCTTCTTCCCTCTTCTTCTTTTTAAAATGATTGATGATTGATGGATCGTAAGATGTTGGATACCGCTGTAGCACAAAGAAGCATTTGTATGTGAAATAGTATTCATTTCATGCTGGATATGAAACAGTGCACTACAGTACTGGCAATGAGGTGATGTTTGAATGGTCTGGTACACTTTTGTGCTGTTGTTAATAATCCTTGCAGAGGTTCTTTCGTCACTTGTTCCCACTTCCTCTTTCGACGTACGAAACCCATTCGAGAAACCAAGAGGTCCCACAGCTTCTGTTGACCTGATGATTATTATTATTTTCACAAGATCATCGACAACCTTAGCATCCTTCAGATCGGATGGACCACCACGCAGCTGGAAGATGTTTGTGGGTTGTGTGACAAGCACGTCACTGAATATATCTCGTGTTTTCTGTTCACCCAACTGGTTCGGCATCGGAATATCCCAACCCGGAAGTGTTTCAGCTATTCCGGGTGCACTTCCTTTGAATTGCATTGGTCTTTTGTTAGATTTTATTCGGGCTCAAGGTATTCTGAAAAGTATTTAATTGAGCTATGATTAAAACCACAGCTACTGGTGGCACAATGGTTAGAGTGCAGCACAGCAAGCTACTTCTGCTGATTGCCAGCTGCCTGCAATTTGGCAGTTCAAATCTCACCAGCCTCAAAGTTGACTCAGCCTTCCGAGGTGGGTAAAATGAGGACCCAAATTGTTGGTGGGAAGAGGCTGACTCTGTAAACCGCTTAGAGAGGGCTGTAAAAGCTCTGTAAAGCGGTATATAAGTCTAAGTACTACTACTGGGATGCAGGGAGATATATTTGAAATTTGCTCAGTGTTCTGTTTGTGCGACAGTAATTTTGTCTATGACTACTAACTCATCCTCAGTTTATGAGAATATAGAATAATAGGGTTGGAAGGGACCCTGAGGGTCTTCTAATATAACCACCTGCCCAAGCAGGAGACTGTTTACCATTCTGGATAAATTACAGGTAGTCCTCGATTTACGACCACAGTTGAGCCCAAAATACCTGTTGCTAAGCAAGACACTTGTTAAGGGAATTTTGCATCAATTTACAAACTTTCTTGCCAAAGTTGCAAAGTGAACCACTGCCGTTAGTGATATGGTTGTTGAGTGAATCTGGCTCCCCACTGACTTTGCTTGACAGAAGGTCGCAAAAGGGGGAATGCATTTGTCATAAATATGAGTCGGTTGCCAAGCATCCAAATTTTGATCATGTGACCGTGAGGCTGCTGCAATGGTCGCAAGTGTGAAGAAACTGTCTTAACTCAGTTTTTTCACTCCTGTTGTAATTTTGAATGCTCACTAAATGAACTCTCGTAAGTCAAGGATTCCCTGTTTTTGATTATTTGATCGCTGGAATTTATTCTTAAATTTACATTGGAATAGACATGGAGGTGGGATGTGTGATGGCTTTATAGCTCCTAACCAATCAATACCAAGGAAATATTTATCTGCAGAAACATTGGCAAATGTTACAAAGAAATGTATATTGACCCAAAGGGGCTTTCTTTCAAAAGGCAACTGGACTTTCTTGTTTTGCTTGAAGAGGTTTCGCTTCTTATCGAAGAAGATTCCTCAGTTCTGAGGAATTCTGGTGGAGGAGGGAAGGATTTTTATTCCTTTCATTCCAAGAGCACTTTTAAACTGGGTAACTGAGAATCTCCATAGACAAATGTATATTGAGCTTTTAGGGGAAAAAATCATACTGTGATTTTATTTTGCTTTTTAAGCATATTAAAATTATTAATGTATATTAAAAATACACATTTACCCTGTGTATTTTCACCTTAGTTAAACCCCCCCCCCCCCCCCAAAAAAAAACCCACCCACTGATCTTTTTCTGCCAGTCAACAATATTACCAGGACATGTATTTCCACTCTGGAAGGCCAAAATGCAGGGTTTGTTTGTTTTTTAAAATGCTGCTCAAGTCAAGATTCTTTGTGTAGCAGTGGATGAACTGAGTCATAAATTCATGTGCATAGATTTGGCATAATGTAGTTTGTACATTGGATCCTCAGAAGAATACAAAGCAGATTTAACAAACTATGGTTGAAGAATTCCAGAGTCACCATGTAGGGGGACAGAGGCGGCATAAAAATTTAATAAATAAAAAATTCTGGCGTAGCATTATAAGCGAACAAAGGATGTGTTCAAGTGAATAGGGACTGTTACTCTAGAGCAGGGGTATCAAACTCAAGGCCACTGGCTCAACCTGGAAACAGTGAAGGACCAGCCTACGGTGCATCTGCCAGTGAAAACGGAGCTTGGCAGATCCACATGCAGCCTCCCAAAAGCTCCCCGAGCTCCATTTTTGCTGGCAGAAGGTTGCAGGAAACTTTCGCGGCCTAAAACGGAGCCCAGGTAGGTTGCACACAACTTCCCTGAGCTCCGTTTTCACCGGCAGAGAGCTGCAGAAGGTCATCGCGCAGAGGTGGGATTCAATTTTTTTTTTTTACTACCGTGGTTTGGTGGGCGTGGCAGGGGAAAGATACTGTAAAATCTCCAGTCAGAGGTGGTATTTGTAGTTCTCCAAACTACTCAAAATTTCCACTACCGGTTCTCCAGAACTGGTCAGAACCTGCTGAATGCCACCTCTGCTGTTGTGGCCGAAAACGGACCCTCGGTGAGTGACGTGTAGCTGGCCACAACCACCCTGGCTACATCATGCCAGTCCCCCCAAGTCAACCCTGATGTGGCCCTCAGTGAAATCAAGTTTGACACCCCTGGTCTAGAGGGACCCAAAACCAATTTTCTGCCATCTTAGTCTCTTGAATTAACTAGCTCAGTTTACAACATTCCCAAAACCGGCCAAATTTACTCAATTGGCATGGAAGAATCTAGCCTGTAAAATTCTTTAAAGCCTTGTTTTCAATATGCTTTCGCTTACATTTTTTAATGTTTTAGACTGTGCCCCAGAGATTAACAGGGACAAAAATTAATTGATTAAAAAAGTGAATCTATGAAAAGTACAGATGAGACATTCCTACCGCACAAAATCTCATCACTTATAGCAACTACGGAATGCTATGGATTCTCATCTATGGATAAGAATATCAATAGCAAAACTATATAGGTACTAAGTTAGTGGTTATTTTAAAAAAAGTAAAGGGAACATGCAAAATAAACACGCAAACGTGCAAAATAAACATCTTGCCAAATGTTATATTCTTTTTCTCTCCATCCAAAGGGACTTGGATAACAACCAATTAGTTATCAGTTAAAGAAAAACCCTGATATATCTAGTGCTACAAATAGGAGAAAGCAAATATTTAAAAAACTATAGCATCCTCCCACATTTTAAGAGCTGGAATAATGTGTTCCTAATTTTTTTTTCTTCCTTTAAAAAAGGGTTTCCACTAGGACCAACTGAAACTCTCTAATATATTCTGCTTTATGGTACTGTTCCTCCTACCACAATCTCTGTGTTGGCCTAGTTGCAGACAATGCTGCTAAAAGTTGTTGAAAAGAGCAATTTGAATGTACTAACCTGCAGTTACTTCTGGCATTTGTCCTGGCTCTTTGTGCTGAGGGAGGGAGTGAAAATTGCACCATTATTTAATTGAAACAAAGCATCCCTCCTCCGACTAAGCTAAATCCCACAATGACTTCATGGACAGCTCCTTGCTGTTTTCTTAGCAATTGTATGGGATAGTTTGCATTGTCATATTTTAAGACTTCCCAGTCTTGACTGCCATCCTGGGATTACCTGGTTGTCTCCCAGCCACGTTCTACCCAAGCCCACGTCTGCTTAGCTTTTTCAAGATCAGCCAAGATTTGAGTGGTGTGAGAAGTTTGGATCAAAATATATTTTATTCTTTACACTGTTTCCATCTTCCCTTAAAATATTAACAGAATCCACAATGGACTGAGAATCAGTGTCTCCACTAGGAAAGTGACAGTCAAGCTGAAGTTAAGTTAATCAATTAAAAATAGCAAACGGGAGGAAAAAATATAACTTCCTCAAACTCCCCCCCTCCCCCAATAAGTTACCCAGACCTAATCCACATAGGATAAGGTCTGTAAACACAAAGAGTTAATTAAATTAGGTATCCCAGTGGAACTGCATATTCACAAGAATAAACTTCATAGATGACATACGTACATATAGATGCCCTTCAAGGGTCATCCTAGAATCAGCACGTAGACACTTCCACACCTAGGACAAGCTCCCCAATAAAACTCTACCCCATTTCTCTTCAGCTGCCCCTAAAGGCAAACTCTTTGCTTTTAGGAATAAATATTTCTTCTTTCCTCACATCTATCTGGACCTCATTTTTATTTATTTATTGTGCAATCCCGGCTTAAGTTGGAACCCCAAATTATTCTTCTGACAGTAGGTGTCACCACTTCAGGGGAGATGGCCCAGTAACTGTGGACCAATGTTTTTCAAATGTGACAACTTTAAAAATGTATGGACTTCAACTCCCAAAATTCCCCAGCCAGCCATGCTGGCTGGGGAATTCTGGGAGTTGAAGTCCATACATCTTGAAGTTGTCGAATTTGAGAAACAATGCTTCTTAAATACCATCAGAGGATTAGTAGGAAGATAACTGCTTTTATGTTGGAATTGTGGATATCCAAAAAGGTACGACCTACGTTGCTTTTTTTTTTTTTTTAACAGCTTTGATATTTGTTCCTTCTATGGATATATTTTTTTCTAGCATTGCTGGAAACCACTTTGGAAAAAGCCACAACAGCATTTAAACACCTACAAACAGTAACATAGCATCTGTTGGAAATGTCTTACATTAAGAATTTCTTGAATGTTGTATATAAATTGTATTTGAAAAACACGCTTTGGAAATAGTTTGTACATTATTTCCTGATTTATACTTGATATTTAGTGTTAATATTTCTAACTGTTAATAACAAGATATCTTAACGTGTGGTGATTTTTATGTATTGATGTGAAAACGAGGCAATGCCAGCATTTTAACAGTTTCATTACTTGTACCATATTTTCTGTTTTGTAATACAGAATGTTAAAATACACTTTAGGTTTAAAAGACTGGATTGTGAAGCCAAGCCATGGCACTTTTTCATATGACGGAAAGACTTTTAAAAGGACTGGTGTGATCATATTTGAAGTCTGTCTTTGTTTTTTTTTTAAATTGCAGATTTAATGAAAATGATACATAAACTACATTCTATTTATAATCGGAAATATTTCAAGTAAAGATTGCATGAGAAAAAAAAGCATCAATGTCACTTTTCAAGATGTAAAATTGTAATTATCAAGGTCAGGCTTCAACATTTCTCTTAAGCAGAATACCTTTCAGAAGTGTCAACTGGAGCAGAAAAAAATCCATTCCTAGAATTTTCAACATCTTTGCAGGGCAACAGAATTACTAGTCAATTTGGGGGGGGGAAGTGTTCTTTGAAATGGAGGTTAGACAGCTATTTGGGATGTTTTTGTCTGATTTCTGCCCTGAGCCTGGGGTTGTACCTAAAGTAGTTTAAAAAAAAAAAAACACTTGGCAATTTAAGATGTGTAGACTTCAACTTCCAAAATCCTCCTGACTGCATTTTGGCTGGGAGATTCTAAGAGTTGAAGTCTGCAAATCTTAAAGTTGCAAATTTGAAAAACACTAAATTTGAAGGGTACTTATCTGGGTTATTTAAGTGATCGATTTGTGTATCTTGCCATTTAGTATAAAAACTTTGCAACAGACTCACTGAAGAATGAACAAAATGAACCAAAAAAATGTGCCAGCAGAAAAAGTCTCAAGGCAGCATCAAAAAAAAAAAAAAAAGATTTGGAGAACATAAATGATTTGCAAGAGTAGCATCAAATGCTTTTCAGCTTTACCAACTTTAAGATGTCAACTCCCAGAACGTCCTAGCCAGCATGGAGAATTCTGGGAGTTTAAGTCCACACATTTTTAAAGTTGCCAAGGTTGAAAAGACTGGTTTAAGCAGGTTGAGAGAGAGAATCCTAGGTCATAGCTATAATGGATTAATTGGGTCTTAATTAATTACAGGGCCAAGTGCATGATTGTCCTCAATTTAAATTTAGATATAGGCCTCTTTTCCTATAGACCCCCCTGGTCATTGTATCTATTTATATTAGGTGAACTGGACGTAAATTGATAATGAATATTGTGGTAGGCTTGAGAAACTGCCCATCTTTTTCAAACTAGGCAACATATACCATTGTTCTTTTAAATATTATTAACTTAATCCAGTGAGTGGGAGTGATTGATCTTTTTCAGATATCACAGCAGTTGGGAACCTAAGTGCATTCCTGGCCACCCACACGTAAAAAATAAATCACACAATTTTTCCTCCATTAGTTCCTCGTGACAGGCTGGTGGGAGTGAGATATGGGAAAACAATACTTCTGATTTGCAACAACCACAAAAATGAAGGCTACCTTTGCAGTCAGCTGGGAGTGATTTGAGGACAGCTTGTTCTAGTGGTTAAGGCACCAGGCTAGAAAGCAGGAGAGGCCATTAAGTTCTATCTTAAGATGTGGAAAACTGGCTAGGTAACTTTGGGCCAATCACCAGGAGACAGTGAGTTCTAATCCCGCATTAGGCATGACTGCCAGATGGTTGTCTTTGGGCCAATCACTAGGAGACTGTGAGTTCTAATCCTGCCCTAGGCATGAAAACTGGGTGAGGCCAGTCACTATCTCAGCCCAACCCACTTCACAGGGTTGTTATTGTGGGGAAAATAGGAGGAGGAAGGAGTATTAGATATGTTTGCCACCTTGAATTGTTTATAAAAATAATGAAGGCAGAATATAAATTAAATAATTATGCATTTTTCCTGTGGATAAATGGTAGTTGCCTGTCCTTGCATAGGGCATCAGATGAGTAAAGTGGAAGGATGAGGATTTCTCTCTCTGGTTCTTTACTGAACTTAGTTTTCTTTATTTGGAGATGTGCCACAGCCAAATTGCAAAATATCCTATCCTGCTTTCAGCTGCCTTTTCTTGCCTTCACCAATATCCTTTGTGAGAAAATACTAGTGGGCATATTTGTGTAACATTCCAAATCATAGTTTTATCATGGTTTCCCAAACGGCAGTCAGATAAATTAAGCCATAATTTATTTGTGGTTGATCAAACAGCACTGTATGTACAATTTCTTAATCCCAAATAAGCGAAATGGATGTTTGCTAGGTAGTGTGAATCACTGGCCAACTAACTTTGGCTACACATTGCTCTGTATCTTTGTACAAACCCAGTTAAGTATAATTTTTGTGCAAAAAAAAAAAAAAAAAAGAGTTGAATTAACACAGTGTGCCTCATTTAACCACAGGTTAGCACAGGGGTCCCCAAACTTGGCAACGTTAAGACTTGTGGACATCAACTGGCTGGAAATTGTGGGAGTTGAAGTCCTCAAGTTGAAGTCTTAAAAGTTGTCAAGTTTGGAGACCTCTGGGTTAGCATGTTGTATAAATACAGCCCCTATAAAGGTAGTTGATGAAGTTCACCTAACAGGTTAGTTTGTGGGTGAATCGGGGATTTTGGGGAGTTGGTCCAAACTATCTACAGGCATTCCATTCTGAAGAAGTCAGGGGTGGTTTGCCACCACTTTCTTCCAGGAGGGGAGATCAATCCTGGAGAGATTTGGATGGAAGACCATTAGGATTTCTAGCTGCTATTTATATTCCAACTCCTATTGGAGGGGAGACCAGTAGGATTTCCTAGTGGTCTCCCATCCAAATAACTGCTAGTTTTCTCACAATTGGGTCATAGTGGCCTAGCTGGAGTGGCAAAGGCTAGTCCTCCCCCAAAATAATTAAATGTACATAATGCGGTGTTTCTCAACCCTGGTATCTTTAAACCATGTGGATTTTAATTCCCAGAATTCAATATTGACTAGGGAATTCTGGGAATTGAAGTCCACATATCTTACAGGCTGAGAAACTCCAGCAGAACTCATAGGGAACACTTAGTGTTTCCTTTGCTATCAAGTTCTGCCAATCTGCGCAGCTTCCTTTCCTGAAACAAAGTACCTGGCCTCCGCCTTGACAAAGCTCCTCCTCACTTCTGCTAACCCCACCCCGGGTGCTTTTCTTATCCAATCACAACGTCGCGCCTGCTTCTTTCCCTCCAATCCCGTTTCCCCAGAGAAGCGGTGGGGGGGGGAGAGGAAAGGTAGCCTCGCGCGACCCTTGCAACCTCTCTAGCGCTAAACGGCGCCTGCGCACGCGTGTCATACGGACTCCACAGCTTTCCTGTCTCCTGTGTTTCCTGCGCGTTGGATCTGCGCCTGCGCAGAAATCTCCGCCCCCTGCTCCCGCTAAAGGCGGTCGCTCAGATTCTCTTTCTCGGCCGCCCTTTCCTCGACGCGCAACTTTTTGACGTCACGGCACGCGACGCCGAACCCTGGAGCGGGGCAAGAAGGCTCCTCTGAAAACGGCTGCGCGTGAATGAAGCGGGAAAGTTTCCCCACCTCGGCCGTCTCGTGCCTACTCCGTCCCTTGTTCTATGGAGCGGGAGCGAGCGGGGACGAAACTGAGGCGCTGTAAAAGCAGAGGAGCTCCAGTAAGCCAAAGGGGGAAGGCAGGCTCCCAGTTTTCATTTTGGGTGACTAGGGGAGGTATCGAGGGGGGAGATGGGAGACGTGTGGAGGTGAGAAGCTGTCAGACGTGTTCCTTCTCCCTCTGTCTCCCTTTATTCCCATCTTTGAGGGGACTTGAGGCTTCCCAGGTAACCTTTTGTATTGTAATGCTAATTAGAGCTTATAAAACTTAGGGTAGACCAATTTTAGAGTATTGTTCAATTATTGGGAATCCCCACCATATCTGACATCGGTACAATTGAGCGGGTTCAGAAGTATTTCATGAGAAAAGTCTTGCGCTCTTCTTTAAATATTTTTATGACGCATTTTCCTTTATAATACATATTTTCAATTTTACATCAACCATCTGTCTCTTTCCTTCTCCTTCCCTCCCTTCCCTTCTCCCCTCCGCTTCCCTCTCCTTCCCTCTTTCCTTTTCCTCACCTACCTTCTCCTTCCTTCTCCTTCCCTCTTTCCTCTCTCTTCATATTTTCAAGTTTGCATTGACTATCTCTTTCCTTCTCCTTCCCTCCCTTCCTTTCTCCCCTCTGCTTCCCTCTTCCTCCCTCTTCCTTTTTCCTTGCACTCTTCTGTACACAATAGAATTCCCTAAGCTACCAGGCTTGAAATTCTCAATTTCAATTTTGGATAACTTAGAACCGCGTTGCTTGCGGTCAGACCTAAGTATTGCATACAAAATTATACGTATTAATGTTTTACCTGTAAATGGCTTTTTCTGTTTTAATCGCAATAATACACATGCGAACAACTGCTTTAAACTCAATTGATACCGAAGGAGAGTGCAGATACCACCCACATAAAAAATTACAGACCAATTTCTTTATTGAATACCGATTACAAAATATTTATGAGTATAATGGCTGAGAGAGTGAAAAAAATGTTAAGTAAACATATACATACAGATCAAAATGGTTTTCTTCCAACAAGACAACTAAAAAACAACACAAGGACAGTATTAGATGTCTTGGAATATTATGACGTACATCCAGAAAAACAGGTCGCACTAGTTTTTCTGGATGCTCAAAAAGCCTTTGACAAAGTAAATTGGCAATTTATGAGTCAACAAGTAAAGGAGATGAAATTTGGGAATAAATCTGAGAAAAATGTTAGATTCAATATATTCAAGCCAAAAAGCACGGGTAATAAACTCAATTGAAATCGTTCTAAACTTGACTGTAAAAAATATGATTTCTCTAATAGAATTGTCAAAGTCTGGAATGCCCTACTTGATTCAGTTGTGTCAGATGCAAATTTTCACAGTTTCAATCACAAATTGACTTCCGTGGACCTTACTTCGTACTTAAGTGGTCAGTAGAGGGGGCGTGCAAAAGAGCACTAACGTGCCTTTCGTCCCTGTCATTGTATTTTTATTCTCTTATTCTTGGTCTCATTTTTGTTTGTCAAATTCGAATAAATAAATAAAAAACCTTGGCCCTTTCTGAACCTCAGTCTTGCAATTCTTGGGAGTTGGAAGTCCACTCATTTTCAAAAGTTGCTGAGGTTGAGAAACACTGGTCTACCTTGCAGGGGTGTAAACATGGTTGAAATAATTTCTGTCCAAGGAACCTGGACAGCCAGAAATTGAATACGCGTGAATGAGAAAAAAGAAAAGATTTACTTAACCACACCACAAAGTGAGGGATAATCCTGCTACTTTTGAACCAACAAAAACTTTAAATTTATCTTCTTTTCTCAGTTTCAGCTTGTGTCGCTTGCCAATGTAGGTAACAATATTGGAGCAAGTCTTTTGCTACTTCTACTAGACTTAAGTATGCATGGTATAAAGTTGATACTAAACGTTGCAGCTGGAAGAAAAAGATTTTTTTATGTATTTTACATATAACTGGTCTGTTTTGCCTTTCTGTGTAAAGTTCCACAACAATAACAATATTTTTGAGAAAGTGTTTTGAAAGTTTTTTCTCATGCTTTTACAACCGCTGAAAATAAAAAATAGAAGCAACTGGTCTTTCTAAGAAGTAGCAGTTCATTTTTGTTCCAGAAGTGGTACAAATTATGTATATGCTCTTTGGCATATCTTAGTTATCTGTCTGTCCCTTACTGTTTTCTTTTCCTTCTAGGCAATATGCTACTAATAATGGTCAGAGCTTGTTTGGAAAGTCAGTGGAGGCCAGTTTATTCCCAAATACATAGTTGCTTACTACAAAAGCAGATTAAAAACTGGCACAGGAGTCTTAGCATAACAAACACACAATGTTCAAAATCGCAGAAAACCTGTAAAGGAAATAAATCTGAGAAGAAGCTGGTAAAGTAAACAAATTTTTGGATTAATTACATATGTAATCTGTATGTCTTTCTAAGTTTTTCTTAACTACTTTTAAAATCTCATTTCCAGAAAGCACAAATTTATGAAAAAATAGAAATAATTAAATTAAGATTTAAGCATTTAGATGAGAATCCTGACACAAGTTTTCAATATCCCTTGCAAGCAAATGTTCTCCTGTGTTTAAGGTGTAGAATTGTATAGATAGATAGACTAAGGTTTCAATTCTCTACATACATAATCTACTGAATTTGGGATTTTCCTTTGAATAAAAATAGTTATTGTATATATTATTTGTATTTGCATCCTATTCTCTTTTTTTTGGAACACAATGTACATTGTTCTCACTTTTAATCTTGCTTCAATATTATGAGATAATAAATTACGAGAAAATAAATAAGGTAATAGTGACTGACCGAAATTCATCCATCTGGAATTCGCTTAACACCTTCTGATAGAGTTCTATAATATCCAAGCTTTTGAATTCCAATATAAAAAAAATGAAATGTAAGAAATCAGTGTCAAATTTTCACTAGGTTTTATTAGTGCTGATTTCCTTGTAGCTAAATTGTATCGTTGGTTTGTTTCATTTGGAATATCATAGGACAGCTGTGTTAATCTGTAGTAGCCAAAAACCAGAAGAACTGCAGTAGCCCTTTTTCCAACTTACACATCTTATTAAAAGGCATGCTTTTGTGAGCTGCAGCGTGCTACTAGGCTCTGTTTGACTATAAATGTAGACATCTCTTCTGAGTCCCAAGGTTATGTTAATTGTTATTGAATAAATCCCTTTCTCAGGAGAGAGGTCTCTTAGTGAACTTTGGCTTATGTGAGAGATTCCAAATTGTTGATTTTATAAATCCTTTTGGCAACAGCAAGCACGCAAAAGAGGCATGTTGTGTGAGTCTAAATAATATGGTACTGAATACTGCAGCAATGTTCAGTTTCACCACTTGGTGATGCTGTGCAAACTTGAGAAAGGATGTACAAGCAATCCTCGACTTACGATCAGAATTGAGCTGAAAATTCATGTTGGTAAGCAAGACATTTTTAAAATGAATTTTACCCCATTTTACAACCTTTTTTGCCACAGTTGTTAAGTGAATCACTCAGCTGTTAGTGGCACAGTTGTTAAGTGAATCTAGCTTCCCCATTGCTTGTCAGCAGGTCGCAAAAGAGGATCATGTGACCCCGGAAAACTCATAAATATGAGTCAGTTGCCAAGCATCTGAATTTTGATCACGTGACCATGGGGATGCTGCAACAGTCATAAGTGTGAAAAAACAATCATAATTCACTTTTTTGAAGGTCGTTGTAACTTTGAACAGTCATTAAATGAACTGTTGTAAGTCGTCGACTGCCTATATTTAAGGTAGGAGCTATCACAGTTGAACGTATAGCTGGCCATCTGTATTTTGTTCATGAAAGAAGCCAGCATTCTTTTAAAAATCCAAAATACTTTTTCCAGGTTGTTATTTGTTTTTTTTTTTTGCTAATTGTCGTGTAACAAATACTCGGCTCTTTTTTTGTGAAAAGGAATAAAGAATATCAGAAGTGATATGTTATAGCAAGATAGAAGTGCTGAAAATGAAACCAGGAACAAAGTTTTTTTTCCAATGAAGTTGTAAGGAGATTGCTAAATGTTTTTCTTGTAAGAAAGATAATATATATTTTTTATTATGCTATGGTCAGGGTTAGTTTTAGGCAGTTCTCATCTTGGGATGTCAGGAATTAATGCCAAAATTTCAGCTTCACTAAATTTCTTCTCAACATTTGGTGGAAAATGTGTGTGTATGTGCACATGAGTAATCCTTGTTTGAGATCACCATGTCTTTTAGAAAATTTGTGTTCCTTTAAAAACATGTCAAGGCTTGGATTTGTACACAGCCCAGTTTCTCCCCCAACTTTAAATATTTTTACCAATCGCAGTATTCATCAGATCAATCCTCAATAGAAGCCCTACATGTTTCCTCAAGAATTGAACATAAATGAGTATGTTTAGAACTGAAGGACTTTAAACTTCACAAATGATTAGCATCTCTGAATAATGTGTCTCCCATTCCAGAGTCGATATTTTGTCGATCACCGAAAGGTTCGTGTGATAGGAGGGAAAGGAGGAGACGGTATTGCTTGTTTTCTCAGTGAACCTAGAAAAGAATTTGGAGGTCCCAATGGAGGAGATGGGGGAGATGGGGGACATGTTATATTTAAAGGTAAGAAGGTTACTATCTCTTGTACAGAGCTTTTCGGTTTTAAGACAATCTTATGAAAAGGGGAAGGGGAGTGACTGAAACTCCGCTAACCTGTCCCTTAGCAAGTTGAGTTTGAATGACAGAATTGATAAAAGTTTTTGTCCCAAGAGAGACTCCTGGGGTGGAGGGTGATGGTGGAATAAGGACTTCTAAAGTGTTGCAGAACTGCAATAGTCCATCTGATAACTGTCTAACTGTTGGTTCTTAGTTACCTTGTTGTCAATGACCACACTGAGTGAATATTCAGTGCTTTCAAGTAATGAATCCCTGAATTTTTTTCTTCCTTAAATGTGATTAATTCAAACACATTTAATAAATAATTTTAATCCATTTAATAAATGTAAACTAATAATAACAATTTACAGTTCTTCCTATTGAAGGATATTTTGTTTCTCAGCGAGCATTCAACCTGTTTCTTTTAGATGTCTATGGAGATTCTCAATCATCCAGGTCATGGTTGTCCCAAAGGTGCTTTTTCAAGAGGCAGCTAGACTTACTTTGTTTTTCTTTGAAAACATTTTGCTTCTCATCCAAGAAGCTTCTTCAGCTCTGACAGTCAGAGCTAAAGAAGCTTCCTGGATGAGAAATGAAACATCTTCAAAGAAAATCCAGAAAGTCCAGCTGCCTCTTGAAAAAGCACCTTTGGGACTGTTTATTTTAGATTGCAGTCTCATTCTATCAGTCTAAGGTCGGCGTGATGGCTCAGTGGTTAAAGATGCTGTGCTTGTCAGCTGGAAAGCTTGAGCGCCGCACAACAGGGTGAGCTCCCATTACTCGCCCCAGTTCCTGACAACCTAGCAGTTTGAAAGCATGCAAATGTGAGTAGATTAATAGGTACCACTTCAGCAGGAAAGATTATTGCGTTCTATGCTTTCATGCTGGCCACATGATGATGGAAGCGTCTCTTAGACAATGAGGCTCTCTTAGCTAAGAATCAGATAAGCACTGCCCCCTTGGGTCAGTCATGACTGGGTAGGGAAATCTTTAAACTTTTTTTATCTGCCTGCATCACATCTTTTTTGCCATGAGCAAATTTGACAACCCATCAGTCCCATTATCCTCCCATGTTTCTAGTCTAGTCCAAGGTTCTGGACTTTAAAGGGTCAAAAGATTTTCTCTCTGTAATAAGAAAAAAGGCTGGCAAGGGGTGGCAGGAAGATCTCAAGATTGGCTGACTCACTCTGCTATTCTCTTGTATGATTTCAGCTGTTGATAGAAAGGACTTCAAGTAAGGCTTATCTTCACCCTTTAAAATATTTCTAACCTGAGCCAAAAGTAGTCTAGATAAGTTTGAGAAAAACGGGAGGCAAAAGAGATGGACAATTTTGACAAACAAAGCCAAGAAGAGAAAAAAAAAAGAAAGCACATAACTGGGTGGAGTAAATAACTTTTCTCCTAGGCTGGAGATACAGATTACTGAAAGGTTACTGCCCTAAACTCCTTTTGATTATTTGGAGACAGAGCTGGATGAGTGTGTGTACACACACACACACACACACACACACACACACACGCATGCCTATAAATCTATATATGCCTATTGCTCTGACTAACTGAAGAGAAGAGTTTATTATTCTGGCAACATTTCCTTATGCAGATAGGCTTTTGCTAACCCCACCTCCCCTTTTGCTAAGAAAATCAGCAGTGAAAATAGCAACAGAAGTGGGTTGCTTCCCAAAATCTTAGAATGTAGTTATTTGATGGCCTTATCAGTTTTACTAATTAGAGGAAATGTTTTTGGCAACCGATGTTTTTTGAATTAGTGGTTTAACCACCCCGAAACTAGGTTCAGGATAAAATTTAACAGAAGGAATAAACCAAGGAACATTAAGCAGTATGTATGTCAATGGACTCAGGACCCTCATTCTCAAGTGCATTGTCAGCATCAGCCATTCAGTCGTGTCCGACTCTCAGCATTGGACCAGCATTTTCCATGCCCTCTACCTCCCACAGCCTCCTTCAAATCCTCCATCCTCATCTTAAGTGCAGGCAGGCATCTTATAGACTTTATAGATTTTGAATGTACTGAATCAAAGATACTTCACTAAGTCAAAGATATTTCCTTATAGTAATAAAACATTGAGCTGTCCCAAAGGCACTATAATGTGCAAAAGAAATGCTTTAATAGATGGAACAGAAGTGCTTTGATCTATTTTGTTCCCATTTTGTGAGAACATCTAATCTAAGAGCTTCTTTCAGAATAGTTTGCTTGCTAAATTCAGCTCTTAAAACCAACATTCAGTTCCCGGAATTTTTTAAAGTTTGGTATAGATTAGAATCTTACGAAGATTTTGCTTTATTTAGGTTCTTATGTATATCCGGCTGGGTGAATTTGGGCCGGTTATTTTCTCTCAGTTCACCTCACCTCACAGGGTGGTTGTTGTGGGTAAAGTAGGAGGAGAAAAAAGTATTAGGTATGATCACTGCCTTGGGTTACTTATAAAAATAAAAAAGGCAAGGTAAAAATGATTTTATTTATTTATTCATTTGTTCATTCATTTCTCTTGATGTAGCCTTACGATAAAGTAGATTTAGTTCATCTCATTCGCTTTTATATATATAAAAGCAAATAATTAAAAGCATGATCACTACAATTACAAAATGCAAGATAAAATATAAAGGGGAGCAGATTTTAAAAATCCAGTAATTCAAATAATAAATCTGCTTACAGTCAGTTCTGATTAAAATGGCCTATAAGCCCACTACATATTTATAAATATGTAAATAAATGAGGTAAAATAAAAGAACACATCAATGTCTTAACATGTGTACTTTGGTTTAATTCCCACATAAACAAGAATGAATGTTGAGAATTTAACTGCTAAAACAATGGGATCATGAATTGTAATTATAACTGTTGTTGACATTGAGAATTGTTAGTGAATACAATAAAATATGAATTGCAGTTTGTCTGCTTAAATACAGTAATTTATTATTTTGAAGTTGGTGATCATAGGGTTATCTTTGCAAAAGTTTATATGAACACTTTTGTCATTTAGGGAAAAGAACAGCTGGTATATCAGAAGGTAAAGAACAGATGAAATACTCAGCATTTGGTGTAAAATAAAAACATAAGATTTGGCATGTGCTCCTATCCAGGAAACAGTTTATTGATTCATAATTAATCAACACGGGGTTTTTCTTTAAAAAAAGAATTGATCGTTAGCGTGTTGAATTGTAACATATTTTATTTTTACAGTGGATCAGCAAATCAAATCCTTGTCCTCCCTCCACCCATTTTATAGAGGCTTCAGTGGTGAAAAAGGAGGAAGCAAAAACTGTTATGGAGCATCTGGCAGGCCCCTTTATGTTAAGGTAAATTGTTGATACTTGTTAGATGGTCAAAATTTTGAATTTGTAAAAGCTGAATGGCTAATGTCCCACATTTGGAAGACTGCTAAGCAGCTATTTGCTCATCAATAGAAGCAAACAGCCATGGGTGGTAAATTCTTAGCTGTATTTTACTTAAATTTATCTTTGTTTTGTAGATACCTATTGGTACCATGATTAAGGAAGGCACTAAGGTTGTAGCTGATCTCAACCAACCTGGGGAAGAATACATTGCAGTCTATGGTGGAGCTGGTGGCAAAGGCAACCGTTTCTTTCTGGCTAATGACAACCGAGCACCGACAACTGTGACTTTAGGAGAACTGGGTCAGGAACGGTTCCTTCACTTGGAGCTCAAAACTGTGGGACATGCAGGGATGGTAAGTGTGTTTGGTTTGTTTTTCAGTATGATAGTTAACTTTGAAGAAACAAATATTTATGTCAGGAATGTTGGAACATGGGAGATACGTATGCAGGTTTAAAAAATGTACTCCTTGAAAAAAAGCCAATGCAATCCTGAACTCCGTTAACAGAGGGATACAATCAAGATCAAGTGAGTTACTAATACCACTCTATAAAGCCTTAGTAAAACCACACCTAGAGTACTGCATCCAGTTTTAGTCACCACACTATAAAAAGATGTTGAGATTCTAGAAAAAGTGCAGAGAAGAGCAACCAGGACGATTAGGAGGCTGGAGATTAAAACATATGAAGAACAATTGCAGGAACTTGGCATGGCTAGTCTAGTGAAGAAAAGGACCAGGGGAGACAGGATAACAGTCTTCCAATATTTGAGGGGCTACCACAGAGAGGAAGGAGTCAAGCTATTTTCCAAGGCACCCGAAGGCCAAACAAGGAATAATAGATGGAAACTGAACAAGGAGAGATTTAACCTGGAAATAAGGAGAAATTTTCTGACAGAACAATCCACTTATGGAACAGAAGTTGCCTTTGGAAGTTGTGGGAGCTTCATCACTGGAAGCTTTCAAGAAGGGATTGGACTGCCATTTGTCAGAACTGGTGTAGGTCTCCTGCTTGGGTGAGGGGTTGGACTAGATGACCTACAAGGTCCCTTCCAACTCTGTTAATCTGTTAAACATAAACCCAGAATAATTAGGTGCCTCCTTCTCCAAATTGAAAAACTAAGCGAGGGACAAATGAGGAAAATTTATGTGGTCGCTAAGAATTGAAAACCTGATGACACATAATTCATAACATCTGCTTCTTGAGTTTTGCTTGAAATTCTTGGTTTAGAGATAATTGACAATCAGACTAACAACAGCTGCGTAACTTGGGAATGGGAGGGTAGGTGGTGGTGGTTTGTTTTGCCATTACACCTAGTCCTTGACTTAAGGATCACCACTGAGACCAAAATTTCTGATGCTAAGCAAGGTAGATGTTAAGTGCATTGAGCCCTGTTTTATGACATATTTTGCCCCAATTGTTAAGTGAATCACAACAGTTGTTAGGTGAATCTGGCCTCCCCCATTTGACTTCACTGAGCTTTCTGGGAAAGTTGCAAATGGTCATCATGTGACCCCAGGATACTGCAACCTTCATCAATACATGACAGTTGCCAAATTTTGATCATATCACCGTGAGGATGTGGAAAAAAAATGGTCACAAGTCGCTTTTTCCAGTGCCGTTGTAATTTTGAACGCTTACTGAATGAATGATGGTAAATCAAGGGCTACCTGTATTATGTTTTTCAGCCTGTAAAACAAATGGCTGAAGGGATGAAGGTCCAAAAGTTGGTGACCCCTGAACTAGATCATTAAATCAAACCTATTTAAAACAAGGAAAAAATAATGAAAGCTGCTAAATTCGTGTTCTATTTTGCCAGTAGAATTAAATGTAATGTTGAAGGCAAATGCTACCTCCCTTTCCAATTGGGCTCTTAATTCCAGATTGGATTCCCCAATGCTGGGAAATCGTCCCTCTTGCGAGCGATCTCCAGAGCAAAACCCGCCGTGGCTCCTTACCCATTCACAACCCTGAATCCTCACGTAGGCATTGTTCACTATGAAGATTACGAGCAAATTGCAGGTACGCCTTTATATTTCCTTCTGTTTTTTTTTTATGACCTTCATGGTATTATTTCCTTCTGGAAAAAAAAAATAAAGCATTTTGTGACAGCGATTTCACTTTGCAAGAGCTAAAGTTTGTGCTAAGTGAGGGGGGGGCAGGTTGGATGGAGTGAGGGGGAAGAAAGCTTAACTGCATATCATCCTTTTTCATGACCCAAGATTGGAAAAGAATAAAAAGAAATGTAAAAGAAAAGAATGAAGCACCTGTAAAAAAAAAAAAACCCGAGTCAGAAATGACGGCAAATATATGTATCCCAGGATAATGTTCCATGATTCAATCTGGCTTGGTCACTGGGACCAGAGGTTTAGTCTTTTCAGCTTTCAGACCCATGCTGGAGCCCATTCTCAGGGAACTTCTCTCTAACAGAGTGTGCTTTGGGCTGTTCTGTGTGTGGTATTTATATGGTGCCTGTTGTATGTGGCTTTTTAGATGGTGATTGGGGTTTTGATGGCTGGCTATGAACTCTTTGGCTGTTCTTTGCTTGTGCTGCCACCAGCTTATCAAGTACTTAAGAGGTGAGGGCTTGGCAGCACCTCTGGTCCCCGTGGCTGACCCAGATTGGATCTTGCAAAATGGAAAGTGTTTTGATTATCTCAACTGCAAACTAATCAAGGGGTCCTGAACATGAGGCTACCCAGCTGCCCCACAGTCCTCTAGGATTTCAAACAGTGTTCCATGGAATCCTAGAGTTCTGGAAAACTTGGATGGCTTCTCTGGGGAAAAAAAATCATGCCAACACAGCCAATTTCTATCATTACAATTTTGCCTCTTGATCAAAGATTCTGAATTTCTGTTTGTTTTTCTTTTTAATAAATTCCATGGCCTGAAAAACTTGGGAAACTCCTGCTCCAGTTATCCAGATGCTGATTTTTTTTTCCAGGCAGTTTTCCTCTTTGTATCATTCTCCAAAAGCAGAATTTTATTCTTGTTATCTTATTTTGCAGTTGTAGATATCCCTGGAATAATCAAAGGAGCTCATGAAGACCGGGGACTTGGTTTGGCCTTTCTGAGACATATAGAACGCTGCTGCTTTCTCCTCTTTGTGCTGGATCTCTCTGTGGCTGAGCCCTGGGCACATTTGGAAGCCTTGAAGCATGAACTGGAACAGTATAAAGTTGGCCTATCAAAAACTCCTCATGTCATTGTTGCAAATAAGTTTGATCTTCCGGAATCTAAGAACAACCTGCCTCTCCTTAAGGAGCAAGTGAAGCAGAGAGTCATCCCACTCTCTGCTCTGACAGGAGAAAATCTGGAGGAATTGTTGGTGCACCTGAGGGAACTCTATGATGATTATATGAAAACAGAAAAAGAACAGGTTCGCAAGCCAATGAAATGGTAGTAACAGAACTCTTCCATTATTACATTGAAATAGGGAGGATATTTGGAGTTTGGGCATGGATAGGAGGGACAGTTTCTAAAAGCAAAATAAAATTGCTTTTTATTCTTTAATGTTATAAGGAGATACACAGAGCTCTACCAGCAGAGTGCTATAGAAGCAGATAAGAAAGAATGGTCAATCTGCACAAACAATAAGTTAAGCAAAAGGCGAGTCCACCCTGCAACAGAAAATGAAATGTTCCTAAACCTATTGAGACCTACAGGGCATAATTTAATCTAAGGAACATTCAATAATTTAATAAAGGTATGTTTGTTTTTGTTATGGCATTTCTGTACTACCAATTCCACATGGACTCTAGGCAATTTACAAATTCTTATAAATATCAAATATAGCACCACATGACAACCACATGACTGCAAGGAATATAAATCCTTCCATCCTCCATGATTCAGTCAGAACTGAAGAAGCTTCTTGGACAAGAAGTGAAACATCTTCAAGTAAAAACAGTCTAGTTGCCTTTTGAAAAAGCACCTTTGGGATTTGTAGGGCTTGTAAGTGATCAAGAGTATGGTGGCTCACACGGTTAGAACACTGCATGACCAGCCAGTGTTCAAGACCCAACTGCTGCTATGTAACAGGTGAGCTCCCGTAATTCACTCCAGCTCCTAGCAATTTGAACATGAATAATCACGAGTGGATAATAGATACCACTTTGGTGTACACATTAACAGGCATATAAATGAGTTCCCGGGCAATGGTGATGTCACCAGCTCATCCTTTCAAGCTGGAAGTGCCTCAGGGCTTCCAACACAAACATGAGCAAGTGATGACCAGTACTTTGGATTATATTCATTGTATATGGTATTGCGTGGTTCCAGTGGTTTGTACCTGCCAATGGGCTGCTACCTGCATTATGCACCAATTGCATTTTTCATATATCCAATAGCCATAGCTCTTAAGACATATATACCACTTCACAGTGCTTTACAGACCTCTAAGCGGTTTACAAAATCAGCCTATTGCCCCCAACAATCTGGGTTCTCATTTTACCAACTTTGGAAGGATGGAAGGCTGAGTCAACCTTGAGCTGGTCAGGATCAAACTTCTGGTGGTTGGCAGTGAGTTAGCTAGTGCAAATGAAGCTACTGGTGATACGGACATAGATACCAATGCTATGGTTTCCTACTACAGGTAGGTCCACAACTGGCGCTTGGTATTGGGGGAGGTCCCTCCAGTCTTGGCTTCCATCTGCCTATATCTGGCAGTAGCTGCAAGTGTAGACATCAAAATCATGAATTGGTTCCTTAGGGGTCATCCTGTTTTGTCAGGAGTAATTCCTAAGGCAACTAGAGAGAGATGGTTTCTGGACAAAGTACGTTCGTCCAATGATAACATTTAAGAGGCTATCCTCTCATACAGGAAGGCATCTGGTATCCCAAAAAACCACCCAGATTCTTCCTATAGCCCAATCTATAAGGCACTCATAATAATATGCCTTGATCGGCATCAAAATTTCTCAGGAAATTTTGCCACTCCTCCAATGGCTATGGACCATATCTACAAAAAGATATTCACCCAGCGAAAAGCAAAGGCAGGTCACTTCCTTGGTCAATAGTTGGGGGCAGAATTGGAAGGCCTGATCGATTGCATTTTAGTAGTTACCTTTTGAAAGACAAAAAAGCCTTCATACTGTCAGTTAAATTGCTTAGTTGTCTGTTAGAAGATGACAAAATGCTGTGCAGTATGGAAAGAATAAAAGGTGCTTTTTGCTATTCACTGGAGTGTTCCTTTATTTTTGTTGATTCTGCTTCCTTGATGGAAAATGTCAGAGCGGAAAGTTTGATTAATCATTGTTAATTAAAATAGCAGGTGGAGAAAGATGGCTGGCTCCCATACAATAATTCAATGCCATGGTTCCAATACTTATTAGTTTTTCTTGCGCCTGCTGTGAGCAACACTGACAAACCTGCTATTACATTATCTATAAATTACTATTTTAATAGGACAACAGACTTATTTCTAAGGTGGTGTCACTCAACAAGGTAAACAGACTACAGTTAGTCTTCAACATATAGCCTGTGCATTACAGTTGTAAGTAACGACAGTTATAAAGCAGGTCTTTGACATGCCCAACTCAATTTTACAACCTTGTGTGTGTGTGTGTGTGTGTGTGTTTCAGTGAACACAGTGGTCCTAAAGCAACTACTACAGTTGTTAAGGGAACCAACAGTTCACTATGGACTTGTTTTGCAGAAAACCAGAAATAAATGTGGGCTTTTGTCAAAAATGTTGTAAAATGTTATGTGGCTGTGGGACGCTGCAAGCAGCTATAAATATGGGCCAGTTGCCAAGCACCCAAAATTCAGTCAAGTGATTGCAGGTAGATTGCTATTAGAACTTCAGAACCTTGTAAGTACTTCTGAGGAGGTCAGATTCATAACTCTGAATGGTCATAAGTCAAGCACTATCTGTAAGAAACTCGGTATGGCTAGTCTAGGGAAAAGGGCTAGAGGTGACATGAAAACAGTATTCCAGTATCTGAGGGGCTACCACAAAGAAGAGGGGGGTCAACTTATTTTCCAAAGCACCTGAAGGCAGGACAAGAAACAATGGATGGGAAAAAAAGTCAAGGAGAGAAGCAGCCTAGAACTAAGGAGAAATTTCTTGACAGCGAGAACGTTTAACCAGTGGAACAGCTTGCTTTCAGACGCTGTGGCTGCTTCATCACTGGAGGTTTTCAAGAAGAGACTGGACAGCCGCCTATTTTAAATGGGATACCATTCCAAACAAGTGGCTGGCCAGTAGTGGTGGGATTCAAATTGTTTTAATATCGGTTCTGTGGGTGCGGTTTGGGTGTGGTGTGGCTTGGTGGGTGTGGCTTGGGCGTGGCAGGGGAAGGATAGTGCAAAACCCCCATTCCCTCCCCACCCCACTAACCTGCTTTCCAGCTCCGTTCTCCTGTGCAGGGCAACCAAAGAAGACCCAGCCAATCAGCTGGGACTCAATGGGAGGCAGAGAAGAGATGGGGGTGGGGCCAGTCAGAGGTGGGATTTGCCGGTTCTCCAAACTACTCAACATTTCTGCTACCGGTTCTCCAGAACTAGTCAGAACCTGCTGAATACCACCGCTGCTGTCCAGTCTCTTCTTGAAAGCCTCCAGTGATGACTGGACCCACGACTTCTGAAGGCAAACTGTTCCACGGCTTAATTGTCCTCACTGTTAGGAAATTTCTCCTTACAAGAAGAAGAAGAGCAGAGTTGTAGAATGATTAACACATCACTATATAAAAATTATGCTCTTGTCTATTCATTGCATGTATGTAATACTTTGCGTATGTAATTTTTAGCCTATTTTTTTTTTCCTGTTGAGATTTTATTTCCTGTTGAGATTTTATTCAGAGTTGAATATATTTAATGTTCTACAAATGTACCTCTATACACATGGAACAAAACACGAAGGCATATTTGTCAGAAAAATAGACTTGGCGATTCTGCCTACATTCTGAAAGCAAAGGTTCAGGATCATTATTTATTACATCCCCAGATTCTGTGCAGCTTAAAAATCTCATTACCACATTTTGTGCCACTTTGTAATTTCTGGGCAGTCATGAAAGGTACAGGTACAGGTGTTGCATTTTAGAAGTGGAGAAGACAGATCTTGCAGCCAAGTTCTTGATATCCTCTAGGAAATTATTTCTTAGTTTTCTTTTTGCCTCTTAACTCCCAGCCATGGAAGTGCTTAAAAGAGAGAATTCTAGAAAGCCAAAGCATTTTTATCTTTCTTCAAATCACGCCTTCTAAAATCTGCTCACAATTTCTTCACTCCTAGGTTCCAGTCTCACAAAACTTAGTAACTAGGTCTCCAAACAAGGAGCTAATTTTTTTTAACATTTGTCCAATTTCTATTTTCTTCCTTGTTTTTCTGTGCCAGGTCTTAAATTATAAACTGCCTGGGCTAAGACTTACTATTCCCTGATAGCAGTTTGCATTTGGCAAATGTCCAAGTACGATATGCCATACACATGGATCCTCCGTGTAGCAAAAGGGTAAAAAAAAAGGCCTTTCAGAGACAAGGGGAAAAAGATATTTGACATACAATCACAACTGAGCCCAAAATGTCTGTTGCTAAGCAAGACAGTCGCTAATTGAGTTTTGCCCCATTTTATGACCTTCCTGGTCACAGTTAAGTGAATCGCTGTAGTTGTTCAGTTAGAAACATGATTGCTAAAGGAAACTGGCTTCCCCATTCAACTTGCTTGTCAGAACATTGCAAAATCATTTGACTCTGAGACTCTACATCTGTCATAAATGCAGGTCATTTGCAAGCATCTAAATTTTGATCACGTGGCCATGGGGATGCTGCAACAGTTGAAGTTACTTCAAGCAGATAATGGTAATGTTTTACATGCCCGATGGATTTCTCCCTCTCCCCTGGGGAAATTATGAGGTGCTGCTGTTATAATACCAGAATCAGAATTTTTACTCTTGGGTTAAGGATCAATGCAACAACCATTTTCACCCCTCAAATCTAGGTTTGGTAATCGAATTTGTACAAGTAATCCTCGACTTATGACCAGTCACTTAGTGACCATTCAACACCCCTCCCCTGTAGTCACATGATTGAATTTGGGGCACTCAGCAACCGGCTGCATTTACAGCCATTAAGAACTCTGGTGGCACAGTAGTTTGAATGCAGTATTGAAGCCTGACTCTGCCCACTGCCAGCAGTTTGATCCTGACAGGCTCAAGGTTGACTCAGCCTTCCATCCTTCCAAGGTCGGTAAAATGAGGACCCAGATTGTTGGGGGAAATAGGCTGACTCTGTAAACCTCTTAGAAAGGGCTGTAAATCACTAGGAAGCAGCACATAAATCTATGTGCTATTGCTAAGTGCTATTGTAATCAACAATATCCCGCAGTCACGTGACCGCAGTTTTGCCAAAATTGGCCTTTATTTCCTGGTTTTCTGCAAAATCATAGCAAGTCAAGCATTTGCTTAGAGACTTCAACGACCACTCTACAATTATTGTTCTAATGACTGCCAGGCAAAAAAATTGTAAAATCAGTTTGACTGAGCCCATTTACGACCGTCACAACTTGCAACCATAAAAAGAAGGCTCCAGACATAAAGTTGTATGTCAAGAACTATGCAATCATTTTTTTTTTACTGCTTGGTAGGATCTGTTTTCTTCTATTCATCATGGTTACCTCTTTTGTTTAATTGGGAAGGAGCAGTTCATCGGTTTCTTTATGTGTTAATTTGTAGTTCTGTAGGACTGCAGAGAAAATAGGCCATGCAAAAGGTTGTGGAGAGCAA